GAGGGTCTCATATTCAAGGGAGTACAACTATGTCAAAGGTGGTGAAATTTTGGGTGATCCATCCAAAGGGGTAACAACTAGATCTTCTCTTGAAAATTTTGTAGTTTTGTTGCATTTATCTTATGCATAGAGCCTAAGAATGTTAAAGAAGCATTAAATGAAGAACATTGGATTATGACTATGCAAAAAGAGTTAAATCAATTTGAGAGAAGTAAATTATGGACATTAGTTAAAAGGCCTAGTAATAAGTCTACTATATATACTAAATGGGTTTATAGAAACAAACTAGATGAGAGTGGTAACATAGTGAGAAATAAAGCTAGACTAGTTGCTCAAGATTACATTCAAAAAGAGGGAAATGATTTTGATGAGCTATATGCTCCCGTAGCTAGAATGGAAGCCATTAGATTATTACTTACTTTTGCATGTTTTAATAATTTTAAGCTTTATCGAATAGATGTCAAATGTGATTTTCTAAATGGATTTATTAATGAAGAAGTGTATCTTAAACAACCTCCTAGTTTTGAAGATTCAAAATTTCCAAACCAAGTTTTCATACTTTCAAAAGCTTTATATGGTTTGAAACAAGCTCCTAGAGCTTGGTGTGAAAGACTATCAAATTTTTTAATTGAAAAAAGGTTCTTCTAAGGGGAATGTTGATACTACACTTTTCATTAAAATAACAAAGAATGACATGTTAGTAGTACAAATTTATGTTGATGATATTATATTTGGTGCTACTAATGATCTTCTTTGACAAGAATTTTCTACGTTGATGCAAGTTGAATTTGAGATGAGCATGATGGGGGAGCTCTCATTCTTCTTGGGACTCCAAATCAATCAAAGGATGGTATCTTCATCAATAAAGCTAAGTATATAAGGGACAAGCTCAAGAAGTTTGGCTTGGAGAATGTGAAACCTCAAGCCACTCCCCTGAGTCAACAAAGTTTAACAAAGATGAGGAAGGTAAATGTGTAGATGTTAAATTATCTAGGTCAATGATTGGTTCTTTGCGTTATCTTACCACAAATAGACAGAATGTTATGTTTAGTGTCTGATTGTGTGCTATATATCAATCTTGTCATAAGGAATCTCATTTACATGCCATTAAGAGAATCTTTAGATACCTTAAAAATACTCCTACTTTAGGACTTTGGTATCCTAGAGACTCTAACTTTAGCTTGCATGCCTTCTCAGATGCGGATTTTGGAAGTTTCAAATTGGACAGAAAAAGCACCTCTGGTGCATGTCAATTACTAGGAAATATGATAATTTCATGGTTTTCTAAGAAACAAAATAGCGTTGCATTATCAACCACTAAGGCAGAATACATTTCGGCCGGTAGTTGTTGTGCACAAGTTTTATGCATGAAACAACAACTTTTAGACTATGGAATTGATGTTGGTATCATTTCAATTAAGTGTGACAATACTAGTGCAATTTGTCTCACTAAAAATCCAATCCAACACTCTAGAACTAAACATATTGAAATTATGAATCATTTAATTAGAGATCATACACTTAAGGAAGATTTAGTTCTGGAATATGTTGATACTTTGTATCAAATAGTTGATATTTTCACCAATACTTTATATAAAGAAAGATTTTTGGAGACTTAGGAGAGAGCTAGGACTTTCTAGCATTCCCTAGGCCTTAGTTCAAGTTTTTGAGTTTTTATGATTTTAATTAAGTTTTTAGCTTAAAATTGCTTTTTATACATGTTTGAGTGATTTTATATGGTTATCCAATGCAAAAATTAAGGGGGAGATATATATGTCATTTCATGACCTTTTTAGGGTTGCTTTGTACTCCTTAAATTTGACTATGCATGCAAATTTGTGAGTTAATGTGTTCATGCATATGAAGATAGTGCTTAAATCTATGTCATATAGCTTCTATTGGGGTTCTATATGTTTTCTAACTTTTCAATGCTTTCATTTATGTTAGAATTATATTTTGGTTGAAATTAGGACTTTAAATTAGCAAAATTGCATTTTTTGCATGATTAGATTCAAAACTTATATTAAAGTATCAAAACTTTTCATAAAGTTTCAAAACTCCCGAAGAGTATCCAAACTGTCCAAAAAAGATTGCTAAAAAGTATCGAAACTTTTCATAAAGTTTCGAAACTCCTAAAGAGTATCAAAACTGTCCAAAAAAATTGCTAAAAAGTATCAAAACTTTTCAAAAGTTTCGAAACTACCTCCAAAGTATCGAAACTCCTTAAGAGTATCGAAACTTGTCACGCAACCTCGTTTTAAAATATTTTAAACCTATTTTTTCAAAACCCTTTATGTTTCTAACTCAAGTTTCTCGTCCCTCTCCTTCAAATCCCAAAAACCCTTCATCCCTGTCACTCGCCGTCGTTCCTAGTGGTCTCCGTCCGTTCGCCGGTAGTTGTGGTGTCTTCGGTAATCATCCATTGTCTTTCTTTTGTTTTATTTACCCTTTGAATCATATTTTTTTGCATGAACCCATTTTGTTCCAAAATATTTTCTTAAACCTTTTAAGTATAATTATTCTTTCACTCAAAATTAAGTTAGTTTATATTGATTATATGCCTTTCCCATAGATTATCTTGATTATTTCATGATTTTCGTCAAAATTTTTTAAAAAATGTGTAAAGTACGATTTCAAATTTTTTGAGTAAATATATGAAAATTACTTGAATTTTGCTGGAATTGGGTTGTTAATTGGTATTATATATATGTGTGTTTTACTTGCAGGAAGGCTATTAATTCATTTTTTTGTTAGAATCCTCGTTTTTAAGTGTGTCTACAACCTGTTTGACAAAATTCCTGAACAAAATCTACCTTCCTTACCCACTGTTTTTGTCTCCAAAAAATGGCTCCCAAAACTTCCCTTAAGCGCCCTAGAAGTTGTACTTCATCCTCTTCGCCGAACTACTTTTAGTCCTTTTACTTTGAATCCAATGAAAATCGTCGTAAGTTCCACCAACATTACCGTAAAAGACAAATTCGACCGGAACGTAAATTTGATGAAGAATTTCTCAAACATTTATAATTTTAGTTTTCTTCAGCCCTTTACTCTTGGTAATGCATGATCTTATGCATATTCTTAATGTCATCTATCATAATCTTGTTCAAGCCTTCTTCTATAAAGCTGCTCTTAGTCATGAAGAACCTAATCCAAATCTTCCTCCTCGATGTTAAACCCAAAAGTCATTACCATGCAATCCTATCTCATGGGTCAAATTATCGAGCTTATCGTTCAATCCATAGCCAATGATTTAGGAATTCCTTGTGATGATCCTTGCGATGAGAATGCTCACATCTACATTGCTCCTCTTCAAGGTCACAATCCCACTATTTTATCCTTTGAATAATGCCTCTTGCACCTTCTTGTCATTTGGTTTCTCCGCCTTCGGGTAGAAAAGCCACTCGTATGTGCAACTTAGACTATTGGTGGATTTATCATTTTCGTTCTCAAGCTTGTCCTCACCTCACTCATATCATTTTTACTGAGCTTGTCAATACCATCTCCAAAGGTCTATGGTCTAAATGATCCTTACCTTACGCTTGTATGCTTAGTCACACCATCACCAAGTGTCGGGTTAACCTTTCTTATGACACCGACTTTCGAGCAATATCAACTTTACCTCCGCTCATAAAATCATGTATGACTTTATCAGAGGTGAATGGGTTTGAATACGTCAAGATCAAGCCGGAGAAGACCCCAGAGTTGATGTCGCCCATGGGATTATTGCTCGTCCTCCCGTCATTATGGAGATGCTTTACGACTACATAGTCGATCAATTCGTTGATATCCGTCACCACTTTTATGACATGACTGCTCATCTTGGTGTCATGGATGCTCATCTTGGCGCCTTGGAGGCTCGTTTCCTGAATCTTCATCCCTTCCCGGTCCTTCTTCTTATCCAAAGAATGATGATGATGAGATTAGTGATGATGATGGGATTGATTATTTTACTTTATGTTGCGTTTAGGATAGTTGGTTTTCCTATTTTTGCATTTGGATGCTTATGATTATCTTGGATTATCTTGGATTTTCTTTTGGATTTCATATTTTGGGATGATTTGATTATGTCGGATACTCTAGTTATATTGGATATTTTGGATTTCATATTTATGCTTATACTGAATATTTTTGGTTATTTTTCAATGGATATATTTTGGCCTATTATGTTGGATATATGTTGGATCATTATTTCGTATATTTTGGCTTATTATGCTCTAATCTTCTCTTCTATTTTGTAGCTAAATGGTTCTATCTAACAAAAAAGGGGAGAATAATATCAAAAACTTGTCATTTTTTATATCAATTTTTGGTTAAAATTTTATATCCTCAAATTGTTTTTCAAAGGGGGAGTTAAATGAAAATTTGAATGATATATAATTTGAAAATTTTATGACAAATTTTGAATCAAGAAAATTTTTACAAAAATGTTTTGTTATATCAAAAAGGGGAGATTGATAAATATAAATGATTTTGATATAAAATTAAATATAATATTTTTTGTAAAATTAATTTTAAGTCCCTAAAATTTGTCAAATCTTTAAAATGAATCTTTTAAGTTCAAATTATATTAAAATACATTCAAATACTTTAGAATAATTTTCAAAGTCTTATATTTCTCAAAATGTCAAAAACTATCCATTTAAACAAGTATTGACCAAAAGTTTCAAAACTTCTACAAGAGTTTCAAAACTTTCCCAGACGCTCAAAAAGTTTCGAAACTTTCCTTAAATTTTCGATACTTTGAAAACATATTCAATATCTTCTTTTTCTAAATTTCAAATCATATTCAATATCTCAATTCAACCAACCCAATAAAAATTTGAAATATCTTCTTTTTCTTATTCTTGATAAAAAAAATATTTGACCTAAAGTTGTACTGATAACAATAATAAAAACATTTGTTAGGAAAATAACCAGTGATCAAATTTGTCCCTTTTATTGGTAATTAAAATAACCAGTAAACTTTTTTCGACAGTTGTTTGTTTCTGAGCCTCATCAGAATGCTACAGCAGAATTTCGTAGGGGGTTTTAAACAGTTTGCTGCGGATCACCTTAATGTGGTAACAAGCTCAGTTAGCTCCGAGGAAGTTCGTAGTACACTTTTCATGATGGACCCGTTGAAAGCTCCAGGGGTTGATGTTTACCAAGCAGGTTTCTTTCAGCAGAATTGGAGTACAATGGAAGAAGATGTCGTTCGCTTTGTTAAAGAGTTCTTCGAAAACGGAATTTTACCAGATGGGGCGAAAAGAACTCTTTTAGTGCTTATCCCTAAAATTGAGTTGCCTGAAAAATTTTCTCAGTTCCGCCCGATCAGTCTGTGCTTGGTCCCGTATAAGATTATCACCAAGATTCTGGTTAAACATTTGAAGCCCTTTTTGCCAGAGTGGGTGTCCGAGAATCAGGTCAGCTTTGTTCAGGGCAGGAATATAACTGATAACGTTATCTTGGCAAAGAAGTAATCCATTCTATGAACTGTAAGAATGATAGGCAGACATGGATGGCTATCAAGGTGGACCTCGAAAAAGCCTATGATAGACAGTGGAACTTAATGGAAACTCTTATGGATGCAGGATTGCCTATCCACTTTGTAAGATGGATTATGGCATGTGTTACTTCCATGTCTATGCAGTTGTTGTGGAATGGTAATGTTTCAGTCTTTCTCACCAACGAGAGGTACTCGCCAGGGGACCCCTCTCTCCTTATATTTTTGTTCTTTGTATGAAGAGGTTGTCTCATGCAATCAACCATCGAGTTGCTAATAGTTTGTGGAAGCAGATTCATCTGTCTAAAAATGGCCCTGGAATCTCTCACCTCTTCTTTTCAGATGACCTAGTGCTCTTTGCCGTAGCATCTTTAGATCAAGTAGTGGTTATTAAGGAGGTGATGGAATGATTTTGTGCTTTCTCGGGACATGGAGTTAGTATTGCTAAAACGTAAATTTACTTCTCTAAGAACTGTGAATCTAATATGAGAAGTATGATTGCTCAGGGATTTGGGTTTGAGGAGGTAACGAATCTTGGTAAGTACATTGGAGTTCCACTTTTGCATGGACGGATGACAAAGGAAACGCACAAATACTTGATTGAGAAAGTTGAGAAACGTTTAGTAGGTTGGGTGGCGAAGACTCTTTCTATTGCGGGCCGTATTACACTGGCTAAGGTAGTCCTTCAGGTAATACTGTACTATGCAATGCAATCAACTTGGCTGCTAGAAGGTGTTTTTAATGCTTTGGAGCATGGTTTTCAGAACAGGTTAGCGAACCGGTTCATTGGTTCAACCGGTCGAACCGGTCCTACCGGTCGGAAAAACCGGACGACGTCATAATTATTTAAAAAATTAAATAAAAATATAAAAAATATTTAATAAAAAATAATTTTTTATATTACAATTCATATTCAAAGCAAGTCATAACATATATAAATTAAAAATCATAAAATCAAGTGAAACAAAATGATTCAAATTAACTACAACATAATATTTAAGGTAAAACATATTAAATAATAAATATAATTATATAACTATAATTAAAAAATAAATTTGGGGCTAAAAAATCATAAAAAAATGATATTGTTTGGTTTAATTTTTTTTTTTAAACAATCACACGTGGCTAAGAAACATAGAAGATCATCCAACTAACTTCTATAAATAATAGAGATAATTTGACATTCAAAATCATGGAACCTTTTGGTAAGCATTGAGTAAACTATTCTTTCACTTCAATCAAGCTCGAATTTTAGGCTTCAATCGAGCTTCTAAATTTTTTTTGAGTTCAAGCCTTTTTGAGTTCAAGTTTCAATATTATATTTCGAGTTCGAGTTAAACTTCATAATTTTTAGCTCGTGAGTTTGAATCGAGTTGAGCTTACTTTTAAATTGGCGGTTGAAGTTGACTTGAACTTAAAGAGGGTCTCATATTCAAGGGAGTACAACTATGTCAAAGGTGGTGAAATTTTGGGTGATCCATCCAAAGGGGTAACAACTAGATCTTCTCTTGAAAATGTTTGTAGTTTTGTTGCATTTATCTTATGCATAGAGCCTAAGAATGTTAAAGAAGCATTAAATGAAGAACATTGGATTATGACTATGCAAAAAGAGTTAAATCAATTTGAGAAAAGTAAATTATGGACATTAGTTAAAAGGCCTAGTAATAAGTCTACTATATATACTAAATGGGTTTATAGAAACAAACTAGATGAGAGTGGTAACATAGTGAGAAATAAAGCTAGACTAGTTGCTCAAGATTACATTCAAGAAGAGGGAAATGATTTTGATGAGCTATATGCTCCCGTAGCTAGAATGGAAGCCATTAGATTATTACTTACTTTTGCATGTTTTAATAATTTTAAGTTTTATCGAATAGATGTCAAATGTGATTTTCTAAATGGATTTATTAATGAAGAAGTGTATCTTAAACAACCTCCTAGTTTTGAAGATTCAAAATTTCCAAACCAAGTTTTCATACTTTCAAAAGCTTTATATGGTTTGAAACAAGCTCTAGAGCTTGGTGTGAAAGACTATCAAATTTTTTAATTGAAAAAAGGTTCTTCTAAGGGGAATGTTGATACTACACTTTTCATTAAAATAACAAAGAATGACATGTTAGTAGTACAAATTTATGTTGATGATATTATATTTGGTGCTACTAATGATCTTCTTTGACAAGAATTTTCTACGTTGATGCAAGTTGAATTTAAGATGAGCATGATGGGGGAGCTCTCATTCTTCTTGGGACTCCAAATCAATCAAAGGATGGTATCTTCATCAATAAAGCTAAGTATATAAGGGACATGCTCAAGAAGTTTGGCTTGGAGAATGTGAAACCTCAAGCCACTCCTCTAAGAATGTTATGTTTAGTGTCTGATTGTGTGCTATATATCAATCTTGTCATAAGGAATCTCATTTACATGCCATTAAGAGAATCTTTAGATACCTTAAAAATACTCCTACTTTAGGACTTTGGTATCCTAGAGACTCTAACTTTAGCTTGCATGCCTTCTCAGATGCGGATTTTGGAAGTTTCAAATTGGACAGAAAAAGCACCTCTGGTGCATGTCAATTACTAGGAAATATGATAATTTCATGGTTTTCTAAGAAACAAAATAGCGTTGCATTATCAACCACTAAGGCAGAATACATTTCGGCCGGTAGTTGTTGTGGACAAGTTTTATGCATGAAACAACAACTTTTAGACTATGGAATTGATGTTGGTATCATTCAATTAAGTGTGACAATACTAGTGCAATTTGTCTCACTAAAAATCCAATCCAACACTCTAGAACTAAACATATTGAAATTATGAATCATTTAATTAGAGATCATACACTTAAGGAAGATTTAGTTCTGGAATATGTTGATACTTTGTATCAAATAGTTGATATTTTCACCAATACTTTATATAAAGAAAGATTTTTGGAGACTTAGGAGAGAGCTAGGGCTTTCTAGCATTCCCTAGGCCTTAGTTCAAGTTTTTGAGTTTTTATGATTTTAATTAAGTTTTTAGCTTAAAATTGCTTTTTATACATGTTTGAGTGATTTTATATGGTTATCCAATGCAAAAATTAAGGGGGAGTTATATATGTCATTTCATGACCTTTTTAGGGTTGCTTTGTACTCCTTAAATTTGACTATGCATGCAAATTTGTGAGTTAATGTGTTCATGCATATGAAGATAGTGCTTAAATCTATGTCATATAGCTTCTATTGGGGTTCTATATGTTTTCTAACTTTTCAATGCTTTCATTTATGTTAGAATTATATTTTGGTTGAAATTAGGACTTTAAATTAGCAAAATTGCATTTTTTGCATGATTAGATTCAAAACTTATATTAAAGTATCAAAACTTTTCATAAAGTTTTAAAACTCCCGAAGAGTATCGAAACTGTCTAAAACAGATTGCTAAAAAGTATCGAAACTTTTCATAAAGTTTCGAAACTCCTAAAGAGTATCAAAACTGTCCAAAAAATTGCTAAAAAGTATCAAAACTTTTCAAAAGTTTCGAAACTACCTCCAAAGTATCGAAACTCCTTAAGAGTATCGAAACTTGTCACGCAGCCTCGTTTTAAAATAGATTTTAAACCTATTTTTTCAAAACCCTTTATGTTTCTAACTCAAGTTTCTCATCCCTCTCCTTCAAATCCCGAAAACCCTTCATCCCTGTCACTCACCTGTCGTTCCTAGTGGTCTCCGTCCGTTCGCCGGTAATTGTGGTGTCTTCGGTAATCATCCATTGTCTTTCTTTTGTTTTATTTACCCTTTGAATCATATTTTTTTCGCATGAACCCATTTTGTTCCAAAATATTTTCTTAAACCTTTTAAGTATAATTATTCTTTCACTCAAAATCAAGTTAGTTTATATTGATTAAATGCCTTGCCCATAGATTATCTTGATTATTTCATGATTTTCGTCAAAATTTTTTAAAAAATGTGTAAAGTACGATTTCAAATTTTTTGAGTAAATATATGAAAATTACTTGAATTTTGCTGGAATTGGGTTGTTAATTGGTATTATATATATGTGTGTTTTACTTGCAGGAAGGCTATTAATTTGTATTTTTGTTAGAATCCTCGTTTTTAAGTGTGTCTATAACCTGTTTGACAAAATTCCTGAACAAAACTCTACCTTCCTTACCCACTGTTTTTGTCTCCAAAAAATGGCTCCCAAAACTTCCCTTAAGCGCCCTAGAAGTTGTACTTCATCCTCTTCGCCGAACTCCTTTTAGTCCTTTTGCTTTGAATCCAATGAAAATCGTCGTAAGTTCCACCAACATTACCGTAAAAGAAAAATTCGACCGGAACGTAAATTTGATGAAGAATTTCTCAAACATTTATAATTTTAGTTTTCTTCAGCCCTTTACTCTTGGTAATGGCATGATCTTATGCATATTCTTAATGTTCATCTATCATAATCTTGTTCGAGCCTTCTTCTATAAAGCTGCTCTTAGTCATGAAGAACCTAATCCAAATCTTCCTCCTCGATGTTAAACCCAAAAGTCATTACCATGCAATCCTATCTCATGGGTCAAATTATCGAGCTTATCGTTCAATCCATAGCCAATGATTTAGGAATTCCTTGTGATGATCCTTGCGATGAGAATGCTCACATCTACATTGCTCCTCTTCAAGGTCACAATCCCACTATTTTATCCTTTGAATAATGCCTCTTGCACCTTCTTGTCATTTGGTTTCTCCGCCTTCGGGTAGAAAAGCCACTCGTATGTGCAACTTAGACTATTGGTGGATTTATCATTTTCGTTCTCAAGCTTGTCCTCACCTCACTCATATCATTTTTACTGAGCTTGTCAATACCATCTCCAAAGGTCTATGGTCTAAATGATCCTTACCTTACGCTTGTATGCTTAGTCACACCATCACCAAGTGTCGGGTTAACCTTTCTTATGACACCGACTTTCGAGCAATATCAACTTTACCTCCGCTCATAAAATCATGTATGACTTTATCAGAGGTGAATGGGTTTGAATACGTCAAGATCAAGCCGGAGAAGACCCCAGAGTTGATGTCGCCCATGGGATTATTGCTCGTCCTCCCGTCATTATGGAGATGCTTTACGACTACATAGTCGATCAATTCGTTGATATCTGTCACCACTTTGATGACATGACTGCTCATCTTGGTGCATGGATGCTCATCTTGGTGCCTTGGAGGCTCGTTTCCTGAATCTTCATCCCTTCCCGGTCCTTCTTCTTATCCAAAGAATGATGATGATGAGACTAGTGATGATGATGAGGATTGATTATTTTACTTTATGTTGCGTTTAGGATAGTTGGTTTCCTATTTTTGCATTTGGATGCTTATGATTATCTTGGTTTTCTTTTGGATTTCATATTTTGGGATGATTTGATTATGTCGTATACTCTAGTTATATTGGATATTTTGGATTTCATATTTATGCTTATAATTAATATTTTTGGTTATTTTTCAATGGATATATTTTGGCCTATTATGTTGGATATATGTTGGATCATTATTTCGTATATTTTGGCTTATTATGCTCTAATCTTCTCTTCTATTTTGAAGCTAAATGGTTTATCTAACAAAAAAGGGGAGAATAATATCAAAAACTTGTCATTTTTTATATCAATTTTTGGTTAAAATTTTATATCCTCAAATTGTTTTTCAAAGGGGAGTTAAATGAAAATTTGAATGATATATAATGTGAAAATTTTATGACAAATTTTGAATCAAGAAAATTTTTACAAAAATGTTTTGTTATATCAAAAAGGGGGGATTGATAAATATAAATGATTTTGATATAAAATTAAATATAATATTTTTTGTAAAATTAATTTTAAGTCCCTAAAATTTGTCAAATCTTTAAAATGAATCTTTTAAGTTCAAATTATATTAAAATAGCATTCAAATACTTTAGAATAATTTTCAAAGTCTTATATTTCTCAAAATGTAAAAAACTATCCATTTAAACAAGTATTGACCAAAAGTTTCGAAACTTCTACAAGAGTTTCAAAACTTTCCCAAACGCTCAAAAAGTTTCGAAACTTTCCTTAAATTTTCGATACTTTGAAAACATATTCAATATCTTCTTTTTCTAAATTTCAAATCATATTCAATATCTCAATTCAACCAACCCAATAAAAATTTGAAATATCTTCTTTCTCTTATTCTTGATAAAAAAAAATATTTGACCTAAAGTTGTACTGATAACAATAATAAAAACATTTGTTAGGAAAATAACCAGTGATCAAATTTGTCCCTTTTATTGGTAATTAAAATAACCAGTAAACTTTTTTCGACAGTTGTTTGTTTCTGAGCCTCATCAGAATGCTACAGCAGAATTTCGTAGGGGGTTTTAAACAGTTTGCTGCGGATCACCTTAATGTGGTAACAAGCTCAGTTAGCTCCGAGGAAGTTCGTAGTACACTTTTCATGATGGACCCGTTGAAAGCTCCAGGGGTTGATGTTTACCAAGCAGGTTTCTTTCAGCAGAATTGGAGTACAATGGAAGAAGATGTCGTTCGCTTTGTTAAAGAGTTCTTCGGAAACGGAATTTTACCAGATGGGGCGAAAAGAACTCTTTTAGTGCTTATCCCTAAAATTGAGTTGCCTGAAAAATTTTCTCAGTTCCGCCCGATCAGTCTGTGCTTGGTCCCGTATAAGATTATCACCAAGATTCTGGTTAAACATTTGAAGCCCTTTTTGCCAGAGTGGGTGTCCGAGAATCAGGTCAGCTTTGTTCAGGGCAGGAATATAACTGATAACGTTATCTTGGCAAAGAAGTAATCCATTCTATGAACTGTAAGAATGATAGGCAGACATGGATGGCTATCAAGGTGGACCTCGAAAAAGCCTATGATAGACAGTGGAACTTAATGGAAACTCTTATGGATGCAGGATTGCCTATCCACTTTGTAAGATGGATTATGGCATGTGTTACTTCCATGTCTATGCAGTTGTTGTGGAATGGTAATGTTTCAGTCTTTCTCACCAACGAGAGGTACTCGCCAGGGGACCCCTCTCTCCTTATATTTTTGTTCTTTGTATGAAGAGGTTGTCTCATGCAATCAACCATCGAGTTGCTAATAGTTTGTGGAAGCAGATTCATCTGTCTAAAAATGGCCCTGGAATCTCTCACCTCTTCTTTTCAGATGACCTAGTGCTCTTTGCCGTAGCATCTTTAGATCAAGTAGTGGTTATTAAGGAGGTGATGGAATGATTTTGTGCTTTCTCGGGACATGGAGTTAGTATTTCTAAAACGTAAATTTACTTCTCTAAGAACTGTGAATCTAATATGAGAAGTATGATTGCTCAGGGATTTGGGTTTGAGGAGGTAACGAATCTTGGTAAGTACATTGGAGTTCCACTTTTGCATGGACGGATGACAAAGGAAACGCACAAATACTTGATTGAGAAAGTTGAGAAACGTTTAGTAGGTTGGGTGGCGAAGACTCTTTCTATTGCGGGCCGTATTACACTGGCTAAGGTAGTCCTTCAGGTAATACTGTACTATGCAATGCAATCAACTTGGCTGCTAGAAGGTGTTTTTAATGCTTTGGAGCATGGTTTTCAGAACAGGTTAGCGAACCGGCCATGCTACCGGTTTATTGGTTCAACCGGTCGGAAGAATCGGACGACGTCATAATTATTTAAAAAATTAAATAAAAATACTAAAAATATTTAATAAAAAATAATTTTTTATATCACAATTCATATTCAAAGCAAGTCATAACATATATAAGTTAAAAACAATAAAATCAAGTGAAACAAAATGATTCAAATTAACTACAACATAATATTTAAGGTAAAACATATTAAATAATAAATATAATTATATAACTATAATTAAAAAATAAATTTGGGGTTAAAAAATCAAACAAAATGATATTGTTTGGTTTAATTTTTTTTTTAAAAACAATCACACGTGGCTAAGAAACATAGAAGATCATCCCAACTAACTTCTATAAATAATAAGGTAATTTGACATTCAAAATCATGGAGCCTTTTGGTAAGCATTGAGTAAACTATTATTTCACTTCAATGAAGCTCGAATTTTAGGCTTGAATCGAGCTTCTAAATTTTTTTGAGTTCAGCCTTTTCGAGTTCAAGTTTCAATATTATATTTCGAGTTCGAGTTAAACTTCATAATTTTTAGCTCGTGAGTTTGAATCAAGTTGAGCTTACTTTTAAAGTTTTCAAGTTCGAGTCGAGCTCAACAATACTCGAGTTCGACTTGGCTCGTTTAACAAACAACATCGTTTGGTTTAATTTTAAAAAAAAAAACCAAAACAAAATTGACGGTTTTTCCCGGTTTTTTCTAGTTTTCAGCCGGTCCGATTTGAACGGTTCAACGGTTCCGACCGGTTTACTAATAGCGATTCAACCGGTCTAGATTAAATCAGATTAGGCAACGATTCCGGTTGAACCGGCCGGTCTGGTCCGGTTTTCAAAACAATGATTTGGAGAAATTGATTAGGCACTTTGTGTGGCTAAGAGATCGGGATGCAACTTGTGGGCGGGGAAAATAAATTATGGATTCGTGTTTTGAAAGTGAAGTAAACTCCAAAGGTTCCTGTCTACGCCTCATCGAGAGTGGATGATTCATTTAGGGCGTAGATTTATTCATGGCAGTAAACTCCAAAGGTTCTTGTCTATGCCTCATCGAGAGTGGTTGATCTAGAATTTAAATGGCCAGGGAGACTTCGCGATTGATTCTAGGAGCTGGGAAATTCTTTTTGCCATTGTTTGTTGGAACATATGGAAACACAGGTGCAATCTTATTTTCCAGCCGAATTATATGGACTATGAGGATGTGGTGGTGCGGAGCGTTCGTTTGAAAAAGGACTTGATGGCGAATGGGATTCATGAAGTGAACCGAAGTGGGGCTAATCGAAGTGAGAAGCTGTGGTGCAAACCGACCAGGGGCTGGGTAAAGGTAAATGCAGATGGAGCGCTAGGGGGATGCCGAGGATGGCTGCTGCAAGGGGGGGGGGGGTTTACAGGATAATCACGGCAGATGGATATTTGGTTTCGCTCGTAGTTTAGGCATTTGTTCGGCTAAAGGCAGAATTGTGGGCCATTCATGACTCTTGTTCACGCTTGGAAACTTGGGTACAGAAGAATTGTCTTGGAATCTGATTGTGCTAGAGCTTGGACGAGTAATGATAGTGTGGACCAAAGCTGGGCGGTTGTTAGTTTAATTCGTGATTTGCTGCAGCGAGAATGGGTGGTGAAAACATATCATGTTCCTCGTGAATCTAACTCTGTAGCTGATTGACTAGCGGCCTTTGCAAGAGGGAGAGATCTCGGAATCGTCACCTTCAACCATCCCCCGACGTAGATTGCTATGCTTGTTGACAGGGAAGCTATGCTCTCTGGTTAATTTTGGTTTTTCTCTGTATTATAAAAAAACAAAAAATTAAAGTTCCCTCAGAAGAAATCGAGGACACTGTATAATCACAGGATTATCAGCATTAGCATGGTTTAAAAATTTCAAGCATCATTGGGAACTTTTATCAAGCACAAATAATGATATCAATTAGAACTAAATTTATACGCGTTTTAAACAAAATAGAAAAAAAAATCGAAATTGCTGGGAGTTAATAGAAATGAAAACGGATGAGAATAACATATAATTCTTCACCAAAAGGGTAAAGTTTTAAGGATGTTGATTTTGGAGGTTGAAAAAACATAAAAAGAAAATCGAAGAGAGACTCAGATAAATGTTGGATTAAGAATCAATTCCCAGACCTTACAGAAAGGTCTCATAATGAGCTGGGATAAACATTTATCATCATCGGCAAATTTTCTATGACACAAAAAGTAGAAACACAAGGCAAGCCTATTCAGAAAAAAAATTGAAAGCTTCTTTGAGAAAGAAAAAACGGTAAGAAACAAAGAGGAGAAGCAGAGTATCGCATATCAGAGGGGCGAGTGAGAAAGGGCAGCCAGGGATTTTAAAGGAGACGATGAGAAGGCCTAGGGTTTTTGACTGGCCGAATAGTTTCCGTTTTCAAGAAATACCCTTTTTCTTTTATTTTAATTACATGTTTACCCGAAGATACGTGACAAAGGGAGATATCAATTTTTTTGGTACATAAATGATCATCCAACTATAAGATGTTTTTTTTGTTCTCTTACTATTAAAAGTTACAAAATGATCATTTGATTATAGGATGTTTTTTTAGTCCCTCGACTATTAAAAGTTATAAGATGATCACCTGACTATTATTATGTTCCAAATTCGTCTTTTTCATTAAAAGATTGATAGTAATCTGATATAAACATTAACATACTGACTGTGACATAATAAAATCTAATCTTAAAATCTCAAAGGACTATCATATCTCAATCAGCATGTTAATATCCAACTCAGAAAACTGTTAATTTTTATCAGAAAATAATAAGTTTGAAACATAATGATTAGTCAAATGATCATTTTGTAACTTTTAATAGTTGTGGACTCAACAAAGTAACATCTTATAGTCAAGGGATAATTTTGTAACTTTTAATAGTTGATAAATTCAACAAATTAACACCCTATAGTTAGGGACCATTGTGTACTTTACCTTTTTTTAAAATTCTAAATTTAAGCTTAATCTGACTTAGAGGGAAGGAAAAAGAGGAAACTATAGGAGAAGAAACTGAAACGTTCTTAGTAAGTTTAGAACATATGATTTAAGGAAATATGAGGAATAAAGATGAACAACTTGACCAATTAACCTAATTTATTTGTTCAATTTTAAACAATAAAATTAACCGACTATGTCACAAGTTACAACTAAATAAATTTGATGTATTTTCATAAATTTATAATCATAAAATATATATTTCTAATTTTATACTAATATAACAAATCTTTTTCCTTTAATAGCATAAAAACTTAATAACGTGTCAGATCGAGTCATATTTTTAGTATACTGGAATTTATTTAAAAATTGAAATCCTCCATCTATATCCTATCCAAATTGGTTGAAGAGAATCTTCACTAGACGAAATATTTTAGGTTAAAACTCATTTATCTTGACCTAAATATATACATATATAATTTATTTTTATCAAGTAAAATAAGAACTTAATTAAAAATATATAATTGAAAAAGATTTATTATAATTATTCTTAAATATATATAAAAGATAATTATAGTATATCATATCAATTTTTTTTTCATTTTAAAGTTAAATTCACCCCAATGTCAGCTTTAAATCAATTTAGTGTTGACTATAACATTATCCTTCTTTTATTATTATCTTTGAAAAAACACTTATTTGGCAAAAGTAAAAATGTTGAAACTTAGTTGCATGCAATAAAATATAGATCAAACTTAAGAAAATTTAGAGGGGGGAAAACACTGAGGCCAATTTTGTAATTTTAAAGACCTAACAATGATTCAACAGAATCATAAACAAGACAGAAAGAACAAGAACTCTTCCGCATATGAAGAAAAACTAACCATCTTGTATGATATAAAGCAAGAGATATAATCTCAACTGCTACTACATCAAAATCAGATAACAAATACGGTCTATCAGACACACCAGAAAATTTATGGAGAACTAACGAAGGAAACGAAAATCGAAAAACACAAAAGAGTTCGAGTTGACATACGCCAACAGAGTACCTTGGCAACAGCAACCAACATACTTTCACAATCTCAATCAAGCCCTCAAGATAAAGATTTTATGTTATGAGATATATACATATTAGGAGAGACAATTTATAAAAGTTTAGGGGTGAAAATATATTGTCAATAAAAAATAAAAAAAACCTAAAATATATGATACTTCAAAATTTTAGGGAGGTGACTGTCCCATCCACCCCTTTGATCCACCCATTATCATATCCATATTCCTAAGTCATCTTAATTTATTCATACTAATATTTTTACAATGTAATTAAAATAAAATCTCACTAAATGATTCAACAATATATTTAAGTGGTCCTATTGACATAGTTTTTCATAACCTCATTTGATTCTCGATTCTTAACATTACCTCATCTCCAAACATAACGTCGTCATTAAGATTCCACATGGGATTTCCTTTGGTGATTGCCTTACATGTTGCTTTAGACATGTCGGGCAATACACTAAATTGTATAACATTAGCCGCTACTTCACTAGAAGACCAAGCATCTTTGAAATAGATTTGTTTTCCATTTTTTCCATATACCGACAATGTATGTTCCAAAATCAATATCTACAATGCCAAAAAGAGCATATATAACGAGAGGAAAAGCAAGGTGGCTAGCCTTTGTCAAAGGATGTGTTGGTAATATTAACTGTAAAACCTAGGCGTTAATACTAAATGAAAATACTAAGAATAAAAACTCATGACACACAACTAATGCACGCATCACCGTCACCGGTATTGATACTACTAAATAGAGTAGTATCGGTACCCCTTTGTGTATCAGTATCATTTTGCATTCTGGAATTTGAGCAATGCTAGTAGTATCGATACTACTGAGTGAGTATCGATACTTCATTACTTTGGTATCAGTACCATATGAACAATATTGGTACTATTCATGAGGTATCGATAATGTAAGAACAATATCGATACTTCTTGTCCATAAAAAGCATTTTGTGCCAAGTTAAATGGACTTTGAATTATTTTTGAAAACTTTGAATAAATTCAATTCAAGTCCAAAAACATTTTGTCTTAATTGTTATATCAAAATATAGTTCAACAATCTCCCCCTTTTTGATATAAGAAAACATTTGAAAAAATTGTTTTTTGCAAGACTCCTCCTTAATAAAATATTTAATGAAAAAAGTATAAAAATGTTCAACTCCCCCTTTTTCATTAAGAAATTGAATTTTTCAAACCAAACTTCTCCCCCTTTTTGTTATATAAAAAATAATTCAACTTTAATGTTCAAAAAATAATATTGGAGAATAAGTGGTAAATTTGACATAAAAAATCATTTGAAAAATCAAAAGCTCCCCTCAAAAAGTGCATTCCAAACAAAAATTTGACTTTAAAAAGCTTGACACTTAAACAAAATTGAATTTCAACAAAGAATAACAAATATATTAGTAGCACATGAAATTAAATATATCCAAGTTTAAAATACTTTATGCAATATCAAATGTTGAAATTAAGTGCATATGCATAAAGCTTTCCAAAAATGTTATGCATTTGAAAAGTTTGATATCAATTGTTAGAGAGATATCATTTGCATTTTTAAATTACATTCATAAACATTTAAATTTAGGTCAAAAAAATTTAAAATCAAAGCATTTGGAAAATTGATATCAATTGTTAGATGGTATTGGTACTCCTAAAGGGAATATCGGTACTACCTTTGTTATTTTTAAATCAACTAGTCGTTACTAGCTGTTGGAGTCTGATGGTATCGATACTATGACTATGGTATTGATACTACTATGTAGAGTAGTATCGGTACCCCTTTGGGTATCGGTACATTTTTACATTCTGAAATTTGAGTAATGCTAGTAGTATCGATACTACCGAGTGAGTATCGATATTTCCCTTACCGTTGGTATCGGTACCATATGAACAATATCGGTAGTGTTCACGAGGTATCGATACTGTAAGAAGAATATCGGTACTTCTTGTCCAGAAAAACATTTTCTACTCAATTCCAAGTTAAATGGACTTTGAATTATTTTTGAAACTTTGAATAAATTCAATTCAAGTCCAAAAACATTTTTCCTTGATTTTATATCAAAATATAGTTCAACACTTTCTCACTAAGACTACCCTAAGATCTTGACTATTAATTTATTAAGAGAATAAAGTTCATCCTTGTACATGTACATCATTCGTCATAGGGATAAATAGATATAAATATACACTATAAGTCTTTCTATGGCTTTATTTGACCATATTGAACTTAGATAACTAATTTGAGTATTTATAATGAATTTCTCAACCAGTAGGCTTTAGGCCCATCCCCCTTGACGAATCAAGAACCAATTTTTGACTTAACCATTTGGTAAGTGGATCAACAAGGTTCCTCTCTGACTTCACATACTCTAAAGATAATACTCTACCTCTTATTAAATGTTTTACTAATTCATGTCTTATGTGAATGTGTCTCTTTTTACCATTGTAAACTTGGCTATGAGCCACATGTATCGCCACTTGTGAATCATATAAGAAGGATATTGGAAGAGTTAGTTTTCCCATAATGAAATTTTAACTAATAAATTCTTGAGCCACTCAACTTCTTACTCTTCTAGGTCGAGAGAAATAAACTTTAAGTTCATAGTAGAACGATCAATTCATGTTTTCTTGTCGAACTTCCACGAAATCACTACTCCACCTAACGTGCAGACATACCCACTCGTCGAGCTTACCTCATCAATATCAGTAACTCAGTTAGCGTCATAGTAACCCTATAATTTCTAATCCATTATACCTTTAAGGTACTTTAGTAAACTTAAATCCAACCCAATGTTCATGACTAGGATTATGAGTATATTTACTTAATATACTAATAGTGTAGGCAATACCAGGCTGAGTATAGTTCATTAAGAACAT